TATTCTTGCAGAATCCAGATGTCAACCTCCCAGCTGGGGGCCCCAGGCCCTCCCTTTTCATGAATAGTTAAATTGCCTCAGCCTGGCCGAGCCCCCTCCCACACTCCCTGGTGGTCCACCTTGCCATGGGCAACCAGTCTCCACCGTACCATAGGCAAGACTTTGAAATTATACTCTTGCCTTGAACATAATTAAATTCTTGGGCAGAGTTGGTCTCAATCACTGTTGACTGTTTGTTGTTTTAAATAGTAATTTTTCTTTTTATCCAGGCCAAATTCATTTCTTTGTGACTGCAAATTTTCCCTTCTGCATCTAAAAGATTAAATGTGGCAGCTTTATCTCCTTAGCCCAGGCATAAATGTGAGCAGTTTTTCTCTGTGGATGTAGGTCCCTGTATGTTGAGGGCTAGAGGTGGAGAGGCATCCCTCTTGGGTTGATGGGATAGAGGTGTGTTTATTCTACAGTGAGCAAAGCCTCACTTATGAAATGTGTGCTTAGGATTTCAGAATTGGTATGTCTGCTAGGATCCCTTGTTTTTCAAAATCATGTGGTATTTTGGCAGCAACTGCTGGGAATCCACCAAATCTTTCTCTCCTCTTCCATGCTAAGAAAGCTGTAGCTGGGCCCAGGGTCCCCCAACTAGGGACTCCATTTCCCAGCCCCCTTTGCAGCTGACTGTGAGGTCATGTGACTTGGCTGTCGGCTGCCGAAGACCAGGGGAGTGTGGGTGTGTCTTTCGCCACCGTTCCTTTCCTCAGGAGCCAAACACAGCCCTGGCTGCAGCCAAAATTCACCACAAAGATAAAGACAGTGCCCTGGAAAGTTAATGGGAAACTGGATGAAAGCAACCTGAGTTGAGCAACCCCATGAGCAGAGAGCCCACCTAGCTGACGTGGACCTCAATAAGAAGGAAACAAGCTTACTGTTTTAAAGATTTTATTGATTGATTGAGAAAGAAAGAGAGTGAGAGTGGTAGGAGCAGAGGGAGAGGGAGAGAGAGAACCTCAAGCAGAGCCCAACGTGTGGCTTGATCCAATGACCTTGAGATCACGACCTTAGCCCAAATCAAGAGTTGGATGCTTAATTGACTGAGCCACCCAGGCACCCCCAAGAAGTTTGCTCTTTGACATCAAACCCATGCTCCCGGCTTCCATGGATGCTGCATTCTTGTCAGCTGAACCCTAAAATCTTAGGATATGGCCTGGACAGCCAGTCTCTGAAACATATTTCTACCCTTGCCCATAAAGGACAGACCTTAGCCATAAAGCAAGTTGGCAGTACAATTGTGACCATTATCGCCACCATATAATCAGCCTCTACCATGGACCAGGCCTGCACTAGATCCTTTAAACACACTATTTCCTTTATTCTTTGCGGGGCGGCCCCCCTTGGCTGGAGGAGTTCTGCCATTTATGAGGTGAGGACGCTGAGGTGCACAAATGCTCCGTGGCTTGCCCAGGATCACACAGAGAACAAGGCGGCCCTGGGGCTTGGCCTGTCCCCTTCCAGAACACATGTCCTTCCCCTCCACTGCCCATGTGCTTCCAACCTGACCCCCAACTTCAGAGGTTCAGGGCCTCACTGCTTTTGGACACAGCCCATATCCCCCCCCATCACTATCTGCTGAGGTAAGCAGAGCAATGTAGGAAATACTTAACATGGTGGTTTTTTGTTTTTTGGGTTTTTTTTAATTAGAGAGGGAGAGCGCACGAGCCAGGGGAGGGACAGAGGAAGAGGGAGAAGCAGACTCCCCGCTGAGCAGGGAACCTGACTCGGGGCTCAATCCCAGGCTATGAGATCATGACCTGGGCCAAAGGTAGACGCTTAATCCACTGAGCCATCCAGGCGCCCCCATAGTGGGGTTTTTAGTCCAAAGCAACATGTGCTGTAATTTACGTTGGGGAAATAGCAAAGTAGGAATTGATCTAGAATTTTGTTGCTCGGCTTGGTTGTCAGAATGTCTTAGAGAAACTATGCTTTCATCTCACCCCAGCAACGGGGATCAAGATTCAAGACAAAAAGGTAGTGGATTTTTAGGGGTAGTCAGAATTAGGATGACACTTCTGAGGCTTATTTGTGTCTCATTTTCTGAAGCAAGGCTCTCCCAAGGAGCTTCTGGAACAGTTATTACCATCGTTGCTGCCCAGGCCCCACAGAAAAAAATTCAGGTGCCCCAGGGCTAAAGAGAAGATGTAAACCAAAAGCCAACAAGCACCACTTTCCCTGCAGACCTCAGGGAAGGAGATAAGAACTTAGTAGTCATGCATTGTCTTAGGAAAGCAAAGTTCATTATAGGTTTGGTGAGGCTGGAGAGAATTCTGAAGGTGACGGATCGGAAGTCTGAGGTGAAGACTAACTGGCTGGAGTGACTTAGTGGGGCCATGATTGTTTTTAAAAGTGGGCGACCGCGGGTACCTGGGTGGCTCAATTGCTTAAGTGACTGCCTTCAGCTCAGGTCATGATCTTGGAGTCCCTGGATCGAGTCCTGCATCGGGCTCCCTGCTCGGCAGGGAGCCTGCTTCTGCCTCTGACCCTCCCCCCTCTCATGTGCTCTCTCTCATTCTCTCTCTC